TGAACCGCGGTCCCTGATGCTTTTGCCAAGCTTGTTCCAAGTAGGTGCTTTAGACCACTGAGCCATCTCTCCAGCCCAAGGCAGCTGGATTTTCTAGAGATTCAAAGGCTGCAATAGTTCCGTGTACCTTTTCTAGCAGTGAAAATGGTTTTATTTTAGAGGGCTTTAAGGAAGCAGCAGAAAAATTTCGAATGGAATCTGGAATTGAACCAAGTGTGGATCTAGAAACCCTTGATGAACGGATCAAGATTCGGGAGATGATCCTGAAGGGCCAGATTCAGGAGGCCATTGCCTTGATCAACAGCCTCCATCCAGAGCTCTTGGACACAAACCGGTATCTGTACTTTCATCTGCAGGTGAGTCCCAGCAGAGCAGCCTGGTGTGGATCTTAGTAAAGATGGTCCGCAATGACTCAGATATAAGCAGGTTAACATGCATTAATAGAATATTGTTTTAGTTTGTGTGTGGGCAGGATTTGAGTTAGCTGCTATTTTATGTATTTTAGAAGCTGCTGTTTAAAAGCAAATAACTCAGATGCTAGGAAAGACTCTTCTTTGGGTTATGCTTTTTTTTCTTTCAGTGCCAGGATGGAGCCCAAGGCCTTCTGCATACTGGGCAAGCACTTTGTTACTGATCTATACCTCCAGTCCCATGCAGTGTACTGGTGCCTGGCACCAAGTGCTTGGTGTTGCTGAGCATGCGTAGTGCCTCTTGCTTAGACGGCATGTACCATCTAAGCTTCTCTGTCTTTGCCATTGCCAGCAACAGCATTTGATTGAGCTGATCCGCCAGCGTGAGACTGAGGCAGCACTGGAGTTTGCCCAGACACAGTTGGCGGAGCAGGGCGAGGAAAGCAGAGAGTGCCTCACAGAGATGGAGCGCACACTGGCCCTGCTGGCCTTTGACAGCCCCGAGGAGTCACCCTTTGGAGACCTTCTCCACATGATGCAGAGGCAAAAGGTAGAGGTCAATAAGAGGAATTGTGTTTTTCACGCTTCATGGGTGTTCAGAGTGGCATTTCCAGGATGATAACGAGTGCTACACATGTGGTTTGAGGGGAACCCTGGCTTCTAGACTTGTGGCACTATGGAGTGATAGTCACAACACCTATCTAAATCTTTTATTTTGTCAAGCTAGGAGTATCAGAGTTATGACAATTAGTCCCCAAACCCTGTGCTAATCTGTTTTAATTGTCTTAATATTCTTCCTCTTTGAAACTTAAAAAACAGCTATCTTGAGTATTTTTTATATTTGCTTCTGCAACTTTCTTTGGTGTTGCCCCTCTTGTGTGGCCCAGTGTGCAGCTCGTTGCTTGCTCAGGCACAGGTTCCTGTCACCCATGGGCCAGCTCTGTCCTCTTAGGATTCTGTCAGAAGACCTGCCTGCCTCGCGGGTCCACTTGGGATATTTCCTTGGAGTTTGTCAGGAGAGCACTCTCACTGTTCCTTGTGCTGGTCTCTTCTCTCACAGATCCTTCTTTGTTCTAGAGGCTTATAAAAATTTACCTGACCTGTAGGCTACATGTGACATTTGCTGACCAGACTCTAGAAACTGCTGCATTATGTGTCTGCAGAATGGCTCACAGGGATGGGCTTAATTTTTAAGTGAATAACAAACTTCTCACATTAATTGGTTCCCAAGAGTACAAAATGTGTTTTGTGTGTGTGTGTCTTTTTTTTGAGACAGGGTCTCGCTATGCAGTTCGGCCTGCCCTTGAACTCACTTTGTAGCCTGGGCTGGTCTTAAACTCATGACAATCCTTCTGCCTCAGCCTCCTGAGTGCTGGAATTACAGGCTTGCACCACCACACCCAGCTTAATATAT